GAAGGTGACTTCACCTACCAACAGGAAACCCTTCACCTAGCAATAGACCATCCAATGACATCACAGAGGGCTACTTCACCTAGCAACCAGTCAATTCTTCACCCAGCAACAGTTAATCGAGTGAGATCACAGAAGGTGACTTCACCTACCAACAGGAAATCCTTCACCTAGCAACAGACCATCCAATGACATCACAAAGGGCACTTCACCTAGCAACCAGTCAATCCTTCACAAAGCAACAGTTAATCGAGTGAGATCACAGAAGGTGACTTCACCTACCAACAGGTAATCCTTCACTTAGCAACAGATCATCCAATGACATCACAGAGGGCCACTTCACCTAGCAACAATCATTCACCTGGCAATAGCCAACCAAGTGACAACACAAAGGGCCACTTCATTTAGCAACAGCCAATCCTTTACCTAGCAACAACTAATTCTGTGACATCACAAAGGGCCACTTCACCTAGCAGCAGCCAATCCTGGGCCATCACAGAGGGCCACTTCACCTAGCAACCAGTCAATTCTTCACCCAGCAACAGCTAATCGAGTGACATCATAGAAGGCGACTTCACCTACCAACAGGAAATCCTTCGCCTAGCAACAGACCATCCAATGACATCACAGAGGGCTACTTCACCTAGCAACCAGTCAATTTTTCACCCAGGAGTAGCTAATCGAGTGACATCACAGAGGGTGACTTCACCTAGCATCAGCAAATCCTTCACCTAGCAACAGACCATCCAATGACATCACAGAGGGCCACTTCACCTAGCAACCAGTCAATTTTTCACCCAGCAGCAGCTAATCGAGTGACATCACAGAGTGCAACTTCACCTACCAACAGGAAATCCTTCACCTAGCAACAGACCATCCAATGACATCACAGAGGGCCACTTCACCTAGCAACCAGTCAATTTTTCACCCAGGAGTAGCTAATAGAGTGACATCACAGATGGCAACTTCACCTACCAACAGGAAATCCTTCACCTAGCAACAGACCATCCAATGACATCACAGAGGGCCACTTCACCTAGCAACCAGTCAATTTTTCACCCAGCAGCAGCTAATAGAGTGACATCACAGAGGGCGACTTCACCTACCAACAGGAAATCCTTCACTTAGCAACAGATCATCCAATGACATCACAGAGGGCCACTTCACCTAGCAACAGTCAATCATTCACCTGGCAATAGCCAACCAAGTGACAACACAAAGGGCCACTTCACTTAGCAACAGAAAATCCTTTACCTAGCAACAACTAATTCTGTGACATCACAAAGGGCCACTTCACCCAGCAACAGCAAATGCTTCACCTGGCAACAGCCAATCCAATGACATCGCAGAGGGCCACTTCACCTAGCAACAGCCGTTGTGATACACACATACATACATACATTGACTTTAAATATAGACTAGGAGGGGATTCTTCCCAACCTATCCAAGCTACAGCTCGACCTACACTTTTGAGGGTTTAGTTTTTGAAATGTACAGGTTTGGTTAATATGTTCCATGGATCTCTAGGTCTTTGAGACCAACCCTATGGTCAACTTCTGCCACAGGTTGACCACACAGAGTTGTTCCCGGAATGAGCATTTCTTTAGCTATTTGTTGACCCCCTAAGATGATCCTATGAGCAACCTCTGCCAGGAGGGTGCATTACTACTCTATTCTATGGTCAACTTCTGCATTGACGTTGTGAGTTGTGCATCCATCAGCATGCTTGACATCATCTTGTTAACATAATGCCTCTCTGCCCTGAGGATATTTGCAAGATCATAGAATCATAGAATCAAAGAGTTGGAAGAGACCTCATGGGCCATCCAGTCCAACCCCATTCTGCCAAGAAGCAGGAATGTTGCATTCAAATCACCCCTGACAGATGGCCATCCAGCCTCTGTTTAAAAGCTTCCAAAGAAGGAGCCTCCACCACACTCCGGGGCGGAGAGTTCCACTGCTGAACGGCTCTCACAGTCAGGAAGTTCTTCCTAATGTTCAGATGGAATCTCCTCTCTTGTAGTTTGAAGCCATTGTTCCGCGTCCTAGTCTCCAGGGAAGCAGAAAACAAGCTTGCTCCCTCCTCCCTGTGGCTTCCTCTCACATATTTATACATGGCTATCATATCTCCTCTCAGCCTTCTCTTCTTCAGGCTAAACATTCCCATCTCCTTAAGCCGCTCCTCATAGGGCTTGTTCTCCAGACCCTTGATCATTTTAGTCGCCCTCCTCTGGACACATTCCAGCTTGTCAATATCTCTCTTGAATTGTGGTGCCCAGAATTGGACACAATATTCCAGGTGTGGTCTAACCAAAGCAGAATAGAGGGGTAGCATAACTTCCCTAGATCTAGACACTAGGCTCCTATAAGATGCTTAAGGGATGTGGGATCGAGGCCAAATTGAGCATCATCTTCCAGGATGAAGAGGTGAAATCTTACCGCTGTAGCTCCCAATCGCAGGTAGGAAGAGCGCGAGAACCAGGAGACATCTCACCAGGGTCATCTTCTGGAAGGAGAAGAAGAAAGGTGCTTTGAAAATGTGTAATTGTCTCTCTCCTCCCCCCATTTTTCCCAATTCAAAGCAGACAATCCAGATTCAGAAACTGGATTATATGGCAGTGTAGATCCAGCCTCAGGCAAAATAATAATAATAATAATAATAATAATAATAATAATAATAATACTTTATTTATACCCCTCCACCATCTCCCCAAGCCCAACAACACATCAGTAAAAACAAAGCAGCAAGCAAGTAAAACAGTATAATTAATATAACTCACACTAGCCGTCCCCTGCCACGCATTGCTGTGGCCCACATGGGGGTTCTGTGTGGGAGGTTTGGCCCAATTCTATCGTTGGTGGGGTTCAGAATGCTCTGTGATTGTAAGTGAACTATAAATCCCAGCAACTACAACTCCCAAATGTCAAGATTCTATTTTCCCCAAACTCCACCAGGGCATACTGAGTATTCGTGTAGAGTTTGGTCCAGATCCACCATTGTTTGAGTCCACAGTGATCTCTGGATGTAGGTGAACTACAACTCCAAAACCAAAGGACACTGCCCACCAAACCCTTCCAGTATTTTCTGTTTGTCATGGGAGAACTGTGTGCCAAGTTTGGCTCAATCCCATCGTTGGTGGGGTTCAGAATGCTCTTTGATTGTAGGTGAACTATAAATCCCAGCAACTACAACTCCCAAATGACAAAATCAATTTTTTGAGTGAAGGACATACATTGGGTTGTTAGGTGTCTTGTGTCCAAATTTGGTGTCAATACGTCCAGTTGTTTTTGAGTTCTGTTAATCCCACAAACAAAAGATCTTGGAGTCCTCGTGGACAACAAGTTAAACATGAGCCAACAATGTGGTGTGGCGGTAAAAGAAGCCAATGGGATTTTGGCCTGCATCAATAGGAGCCTAGTGTTTAGATCTAGGGAAGTCATGCTACCCATGCTCTATTCTGCCTTGGTTACACCACACCTGGAATACTGTGTCCAATTCTGGGCACCACAATTCAAGAGAGATATTGACAAGCTGGAATGTGTCCAGAGGAGGGCGACTAAAATGATCAAGGGTCTGGAGAACAAGCCCTATGAGGAGCGGCTTAAGGAGCTGGGCATGTTTAGCCTGAAGAAGAGAAGGATAAGAGGAGATATGATAGCCATGTATAAATATGTGAGAGGAAGCCACAGGGAGGAGGGAGCAAGCTTGTTTTCTGCTTCCTTGGAGACTAGGACGCAAAGGAGCAATGGCTTCAAACTACAAGAGAGGAGATTCCATCTGAACAGAGGTGGCCCTAGGTAATTTTCAATGGTAAGCAAACATTATTTTGGCACCCCCCCCCCCAACCAATCACTGATATATATTTTCTGTTCATCGTGGGAGTTCTGTGTGCCATATTTGGTTCAATTCCAACATTGGTGGCAGGCCCGTAGCCAGGATTTCGTTTCGGGGGGGGCTGAATTTTTTTTCAGGGGGGGTTTCGGGGGGGCTGAGTTTCGGGGGGGCTGAGTCTGAGTGAAAGAGGGTCTAGCCTAGCAAACCTTTTGTATCATTACCCCAATACCCCCATGCATATGGGATATATTGAGTATGGTGATCAGATCATGATATGAATAAACATAACAGTTTAAATAATGCACCAGTAAGGCCTTTCGCGAACCACCATGAGAATTTCGGGGGGGGCTGAAGCCCCAGCCCCCCCCCGTTCAATTCCATCATTGGTGGATTCAGAATGCTCTTTGATTGTAGGTGAACTATACATCCCAGTAACTACAACTCAATATGTCAAGGTCTATTTTCCCCCAGAGCGCCTCAAGAGCGCCCTGGGGAAACAATGGCTTCAAACTACAAGAGAGGAGACGCCATCTGAACATGAGGAAGAACTTCCTGACTGTGAGAGCCGTTCAGCAGTGGAACTCTCTGCCCGGAGTGTGGTGGAGGCTCCTTCTTTGGAAGCTTTTAAACAGAGGCTGGATGGCCATCTGTCAGGGGTGATTTGAATGCAATATTCCGGCTTCTTGGCAGAATGGGGTTGGACTGGATGGCCCAGGAGGTCTTTTCCAACTCTTTGATTCTCTGATGACGAGATTGAATCTAGATTTTAACTAAGAGACACTATGAGTTATGTTGTATTGACTTGTATGATTGTATATTGATGCCATGGTTTTTAATTGTTTTAATTATTTTATGGTGTTTAAGCATTGAATTTTTGCTCCTGTAAGACACTTTGAGTCACCCGAGGGCTGAGAAAAGCAGTATATAAATGGTGTAAATAAATAAATAAACCTTACAGTGTAGATTGCTGAAAGAAACATTAACAACCTTGGGAAGTCTGATCTGGCTTCAGTGGTCCACGCTCTTGTCACATCCCGGATATACTACTGCAATACACTCTACTTGGGGTTGCCCTTGAAGACTGTTCGGAAACTTCGACTGGTTCAGCGAGCGGCAGCCAGGCTGCTCACTGGAGCGACATACAGGGAGCATACCACCCCCTGCTGTGCCAGCTCCACTGGCTGCCGGTTCAGTTCCGAGCCCAATTCAAGGTGCTGGTTTTGACCTACAAAACCCTGTACGGTTCCGGTCCAGTGTATCTGTCCGAACGTATCTCCCTCTACGTCCCACCACAGAATTTAAGATCATCTGAGGGGGCCCTGCTCTCGACCCCACCGCTTTCCCAAACGAGGCTGGTGGGGACGAGGAGCAGGGCCTTCTCAGTGGTGGCCCCTCACCTGTGGAACTCACTCCCCGTGGATATCAGGACATCAACATCACTCCTGTCCCTCAGGAGGAAGGTAAAGACATGGTTGTGGGACCAGGCCTTCGGGCAATCTGCCAACTAAGTAAGGACAACCAGACAAATAGGACCGGCAGGACTGATAACTGTGGAATGAAACTCTGAACTATGAGATAGCGAATATTGACCGGCAATAAGGAGTAATTGGTTTGTATCGGTTTGTATGAAATTTTTATGGGTTTTATTGGTTTTATTGGGTATAGATATGATGTACTGTTGTTGTTTGCTATTTTGTGCTATTGTGTTTTATTATTGTTGTATGTTACGGGCATCGAATTGTGCCTTGGATATGTAAGCCGCCCTGAGTCCCCTTTGGGGTGAGAAGGGCGGGGTAAAAGTAAACCAAATAAATAAATAAATAAATATGCAGATGACACCACTCTGATGGCCGAAAGCGAGGAGGAGCTGAGGAGCCTTCTAATCAAGGTGAAAGAAGAAAGCGCAAAAGCCGGGTTGCAGCTAAACATCAAAAAAACCAAGATTATGGCAACAAGAATGATTGACAACTGGGAAATAGAGGGAGAAAATGTGGAGGCCGTGACAGACTTTGTATTTCTAGGTGCAAAGACTACTGCAGATGCAGACTGTGGCCAGGAAATCAGAAGACGCTTCCTTCTTGGGAGGAGAGCAATGTCCAGTCTCGATAAAATAGTAAAGAGTAGAGACATCAGACTGGCAACCAAGATCCATTGCCTAGTCAAAGCCATGGTCTTCCCTGTAGTCACCTACGGATGTGAGAGCTGGACCTTCGGGAAGGCTGAGCGAAGGAAGATCGATGCTTTTGAGCTGTGGTGTTGGAGGAAAGTTCTGAGAGTGCCTTGGACTGCGAGAAGATCCAACCAGTCCATCCTCCAGGAAAGAAAGCCCGGCTGCTCATTGGAGGGAAGGAGACTAGAGACAAAGTGGAAGTCCTTTGGCCACATCATGAGGAGACAGCAAAGCCTAGAGAAGGGAATGATGCTGGGGAAAGTGGAAGGCAAAAGGAAGAGGGGCCGACCAAGGGCAAGATGGATGGATGGCATCCTTGAAGTGACTGGACTGACCTTGAAGGAGCTGGGGGTGGTGACGGCCGACAGGGAGCTCTGGCGTGGGTTGGTCCATGAGGTCACGAAGAGTCAGAGACGACTGAACGAATGAACAACAACATGTCCAGTTATTTTTGGGTTCTGTTAATCCCACAAACAAAAGATCTTGGAGTCCTCGTGGACAACAAGTTAAACATGAGCCAACAATGGGATGTGGCGACAAAAAAAGCCAATGGGATTTTAGCCTGCATGAATAGGAGCCTAGTGTCTAGATCTAGGGAACTCATGCTCCCCATGCTCTATTCTGCCTTTGGTTAGACCACACCTGGAATATTGTGTCCAATTCTGGGCACCACAATTCAAGAGAGATATTGACAAGCTGGAATGTGTCCAGAGGAGGGCGACTCAAGTGATCAAGGGTCTGGAGAACAAGCCCTATGAGGAGCGGCGATCCCTCTGAAACCCCTTCACGACCCCCCCAGGGATCCCGACCCCCGGGTTGAGAAACACTGCCCTACAGTGTAGCTGCACCCTGAATGTATAGCATGCCTTCTTTGTGCATTTATGAAATACTCCAGCATTGTAGGCAACCTTGCCTCTCCCTACAGCAGCATTTCTCAACCTGGGGGTCGGGACCCCTGGAAGGGTTACAAGGGGGGTGTCAGAGGGGTCACCAAAGACCATCAGAAAACACAATATTTTCTGTTGGTTATGCGGTTTTTCTATGGGAAGTTTGGCCCAATTGGGGGGGCTTAGAATACTCTTTGATTGTAGGTGAACTATAAATCCCAGCAAGTACAACTCCCAAATGTCAAGGTCTATTTCCCTTAAACCAAATATGTGTTCATATTTGGGCATATGGAATATTCCTGCCAAGTTTGGTCCAGATCCATCATTGTTTGAGTCCGCAGTGCTCTCTGGATGTGGATGAACTACAATTCCCAAACTCAAGGTCAATGTCCACCAAACCCTTCCAGTTTTTTCTGGTCATGGGAGCCCTGTGTGCCAAGTTTGGTTCAATTCCATCATTGGTGGAGTTCAGAATGCTCTTTGATTGTAGGTGAACTATAAATCCCAGCAACTCCCAAATGTCAAGGTCTATTTCCCTTAAAGTCCATCTGTGTTCATATTTGGGCATATGGAATATTCGTGCCAAGTTTGGTCCAGATCCATCATTGTTT